GCCATGTGATTGGTTGATTAGATAATTGCATTAATGAGAAATTGAACAGGTGTTCCTAATAATCCTTTAGGTGAGTGTATATTTACATATGTAGCACATATTTTGAAATATTCAGACCACTGAATTGTAAGAGGTTTTTCATTTAGACATTCTGAATGAGAATATCCAATACAAATGAAATAGTCTGGATGGCGAGCTCAAATATTAAACTAACTTTTTTTGGTAAATCGGGAAGCCATGCTTTGTTAAGCAATGAAATGCAGGATCATTTGTTTGATAGGTGAATCACTGAGTCAATAACAGGATTTTTATAGAGTTGCTAAACTTGATGACTGGAATGTATGGACATTTGCTGATGAATGAATGATTGAATGAAGTACAATGAACGAGAGACCATGTGCAAGAAAGAAAAAGTCAAGAAGGATACATTCATCCATCAATTCATTTTCAGAAACCACTGAATCCCAACTGGCCTATCCCCGGAACAATGGGCGCAGGCGGGAACCAACCCAGGGCAGACACCAACACACTGCAGAGGAAGGATACAAATACAGAAAAAAATAAGATGAAAGGATATGAATGAAACAGAATACAAACTGGATAAACAAAAAGCAAAATAAAACTAAGTAAATAGAATAGGTGTTTAAAGTAAGTTGCGATGTATTCCATTCCTTGTGTTTCAATTTCACAATAAATATGAAAATATTGCACATATCAGCAGTGTGATTAAGAAAATATTTCACATGCTTATAGGCGGTGAAGAGCAAACCTGAACCTCATGAACCTGCTGTCAGATGGTGCCCCTGGTTTGCTCTAGGCTTGCTTTTAGCCCTTTATTGAACAGTGCTATCTGGTAGGTTCAGAAAATACAGCAAAAGTGCAACCATGGCTTTCACCACAGTAACAGGAGAGTTATAACCATTGCAAACAGGAAGTACAGAGTGTTCAAGGCAGGCCCGAATTGAGTGATGCAATGACTGTAGGATAACAACTGTTTTTCAGTTAGTTCATTTTTGATGTTGATTTTCCATTTATAGCTTGGTTAGGTTGGTCAGATTGGACTAGGTATGGTACTGGTGTTACCCTGTGGCCATTCTTAGAAAAGTAAAGCACAGAGACATCGTCTGTACGTGCTGCCATCTTGGTTTGTTGATTTTAGGAATAAAACAGATCGAAAACCTATATTGCAAATAGCAATATAAACCATTGAAGGTGTACTTAATAACTGGAAACACCCTCATTTTAAGGTACTGTATTAGCCTTAAAATAAAACAAACACTGCAATTCATGATAGTTTTATCCTCTGAATTGTCTGTCAATTTTTAAAATGAAATGAACTAACAACATTACAGGTTAAACAAATTAAGGCTAAGGCGTTCACTTTGACAATGATGAATTTAGTGCACAATTCAAGTATATCAATATATGCTTTGATCGATACAAAATCAATACATGGCTCAGCCCTACCTGGCAGGATAGGACACTTACCTAGGCCTACTGCTACTGTCTGACTGTTTGCTTTGATAACCCGTGAGAAGGGTAATGTTATTTTAGGCAACTCTGCCATTTCTTCTCATACTTTCCGTTTAGATTGCCTCAGTTTAGATGTTTTATGTTTATCATTTCTGAATTAGAATTTTTTTTTTGATCTATCAGCAAATCTTTTTACAGCAAGGTATGAAACCAATGAAAAGTGAGTTCCTATCCGTGACTCAAAAACCATGATCCAATGATCCAGAGCTGCAAGTTTATCCATTAAAGTGCACACAGGATCAGCAAGAAATGGGGGCACAAATATAAATTTCCTTTCCATTTATTACTTAAAGAATGTAAAGAACACTTAAAGCATGGAACTTTTAATGTGCCCATTCACATGAACACACAACTGCTTTTCACTGTAACTGCATCATATGGTCCAAAGAGGACATCATCATTATCTTTTCCTGGCTTGTTATGTCGAGATCACAACTGATTTTTCTTGTGATCTCAACACAGGCTTTTCTCACATTCACATTTTATTTTCTTTAGATCATAAAACAACAAAAGTTATTATCTAGGCAAAACAAAAGTTGTAATAAGGCATGCAAACAGCATTTGTCAAGAGAATAAGGGAAGCAGATTCCGCTAAAAATGGATCATTTGTTAGTTAGGTAGATAAGTTAAAATAGGCCCCTCCTGGAGTCGACACCTTATCGTGGTGGAGGGGTTTGCGTGTTCCAGTGATCCCAGGAGCTAAGTTGCCCGGGGCTTTATGCCCCTGGTAGGGTCACCCAAGGCAAACAGGTCC